TGTCATCATGTATTCAGCCAACGCTCTAGCGGTCATATAGACCCAAAACCAACTCTATATCAATACGCTCTATGGTCAAAATTAGTCATAACACTGCATCTAAGTTTCAAATTGTCATAACCGCTTAATCGCATGCACCTTTAATTATTTATTGCTTAGATGGGTGGACAAGCTCACAGCCCACCTGGTGTTAAGTGGTTACTGGAGCCTATAGACATCTACAACGTAAATGCACCACAAACCTTGAGATATAAGTTCTAAGGTCTCAGTATAGTTACAACGGCTGCCCCACCCTTCAAACCGAAACGCACTACTGCTTCACGTCAAAAATAGGCAGGGCGGTGGTACCTATCCGTACTGACTCACAAGACGTAAGGTCACCAGTAATTACGCAAATTATAATTTTGCGGGTTTGATTTTTATTCGATGCTATTCCTTCACCGTGGAAGTCAACCGTGAACATTTGTTAAGTACGTATTACATTAGAAAAATTGGTACCCGCCTGCGGGATTCGAGCACCGTTGCATCTCTAGATACGAATGTCCCGAACGTCTTATCCTTTAGGCCACGACGACTTCAAAACTGTACTGTTTACGGGTAGTAGGACCTCTTGAGAGTCCGCGCGGATAGGTACCACCACCCTACCTATTTCTGCCGTGAAGCAGTAATGCGTTTCGGTTTGAAGGGTGGGGCAGCCGTTGTAACTATATTTGAGACCTTAGAACTTATATCTCAAGGTGGGTGGCGCATTTACGTTGTAGATGGGCTCCAGTAACCACTTAACACCGGATTGGCTGTGAGCTCGTCCACCCATCTAAGCAATAAAAAAAAACTGTCACGTTATGACGTGCGCTTCATGCGTTTAAGATATACATACACTTAGTTTTCAAAGAAAAATATCCGCAAGGACCTAGTGAACTTTTCTCAAAGCACACAGGTACGTTTGCCATAGTTAAAACCTTGTATCTATATATTACGTATCTATATATAATGTATTTATTTATTTAAATCAAAATACAGTTTAACTTTGTAAAACTATAGCAATTGAGTTGCTTTTATAAAGAGAAATAACATTTAAAGCTATTGCTTCACCATTATTTTTATATCCATTTATATTTTAATATTGCACTCAACAAACATTTTTCTACACCCTCTTTCTCAGTTGATCAGTGTCGTAAATCGAGAACTTTGCAAACGTTACTTAATCTCCCTTTGCCTAAACATTCTTCCTTTAAGTTTCAGTCAGTATCGACCAATGATGTTCGTAAAGCTATTTTATCTATTTCTTCCCATGCTGTAGGTAGTGACAACTTGTGCTCTAAAATGCTTATCCCNGCAACGATGCAACGCAATAACTGCAACACGGTCTTCTTTAAGCGTCCACTCCATATTTAAAAATGAGTAAAAATTCTAAAAGTATACATTTTTATTTTCATGAACAATTCGAAATTCGAATTCAATAAACTTTTTTGTGGCCAGCATTCTAAAAGAAAAGTTTTTACTGTGTGACAATACTTATGACCTGACTAGTTATTAGCCTCTCTTTCTTCAAGTTCGACTACTGAAGGTTGACAGTCATCTCTTGATCTAAGGAAACCTAAACGATAAATAATATTCATTAATTGATATCTAACTACAAAATCAAGCATTTCTCGCTTTCATGTCACCTTATGTAAATAGTAAAAAAAGTGACGAAGCAACCGTCCCGATTCAAGCCTCTCTACCCCTACTCCCCCTTTTTTTATTGCTTAGATGGGCGGACGAGCTCACAGCCCACCTGGTGTTAAGTGGTTACTGGAGCCCATAGATATAGACATAAATGCGCCACCCACCTTGCGATATAAGTTCTAAGGTCTCAAGTATAGTTACAACGGCTGTCCCACCCTTCAAACCGAAACGCATTACTGCTTCACGGCAGAAGTAGGAGGTTGGTGGTACCTACCCGTGCGGACTCACAAGAGGTCCTACCACCAATAAAAGTTTATAGTAAAATGACAGACTAGTGCTACCAACGAATGATCATACGACTGGCGCTTTAAACACATCTCTATCTATATTAAATAAAGATGGCGTTTGACCCGCACATTCCGGCCAGTCATCTCGACTAATGAGGTCGCCTCAAAGTCAGTTTTTGTTACGCTGACAGCCGTGACGCTCACAGAATTGCGTCTTTATGTAGACGGCGAGTTGACGAAACCATTAGCAGTCGTATCTTGACGTACCTAATACCGACGAATTTCTTAGGAATTTTATCGTCGCCATTTTAAATTATGTTGTTCGGTTTTAAATTCCAAAAATATCAAATTTTAAATTTTTTTCCTTTTAGTAATTGAAAATCTAGATTTTCCTTTCCTGCGGGATTTTTACAACGGCACAGTTGTATCGTGCTATACGAGTACACCGTCTTATCTTTTAGGCTAAGGAAGACTTCTTCATTAGTAAAAATATCTGATTTGTTAGCTATTAATTTCTCGATTTGGAAGTTTGTGTTCAAACAGCTTACTTGGTCTGTTGGACGGTTAAATTTTAGGGGATTGGGTTCTGTAGGTGATGAGGGGCTATTTAAAAACACAACTGCTTCATTATAATTATATCGCAGATAGCTTGAACACTTTTACACCATTATACAATTATTATCTTTATATTTTTTATAAAACTATTACATGTTTCTCTTGCCGTGTCTAGATGAGAAGTCATGACATTTTCTTACGAGAATACAATCATCTGTTTTTTAAACATTTAAAATAATTCTAATATTCGAAATCTGTAATCATGTGTCAAGTGTTGCCTGCCATTACATTTATATACAAACTCCAACATGGTCATTCTCGATAATATCATCGTCGATCATCGTCGAGCTAACTTGCTCCTACATGAAATACTCAACGTAAATTAAATACATCGGTTGATATAATATGTACTACGACGTGATATATACTCGTTATATATAATATTTTGTAACTGCCGAGCGGTCCCACAAGTTCTTAACAGTTTAACTGATTTTTAATCTCATTAAAGATTGACGTTTTCGGTCGAGGCGGATTTGTCATGTGACTTGTCAATGTCAAAATGACAGCTTTCGTAACGACGCGACGGGCAGATTATTAATTATTTACACTTTTATGGAGACAGTTACATGATGGAATGCTTAAGGAGAGTAGGTCTTATGTTTAATGAAATCATTCTTTGATTAATGTCAACTTATGCTATCAAATTACTGGATGGTACTGATTATTCTTCGCACAAGTAGACCATCTTCTAGACTTGATGACCTTAATACATAATGCGAGTCCGAATATAATTCTCTAGGGATAGTATTAAAAAGGCGCTTGATTAGTCGGTAGCCTTTCTAGTTGAGGCCATACCCGATTATTTTGATGGTGGAAAAGCCTCCGGGCCACAAGTAATCCCAACACGAAAAATTGTCATGTTTTAAATTTATTGTGTGTAAAAATGTTAAAAAATTATCCACAGTTTCTGATTGCACTATATTTATTAATATTAGGAATATACCTATGTAAGCTTTATTCTTGGGACAACAATTACAACCTGAACATAATAGGTTTAAGTAAACTGAGGAACATTCAGACAACACAGCGTCTTATACAGTTGATGATTTCGTAACATATAACAAAGCGCGCTTCAGAAAAAATAATTTTATTTTTAGTATCTGTAGTTATACAACAAAGGGAAGATCTTCCACCGAGCGGGTGATATTGCACGGTAGACAGACGGTCCAAATGTTGTTGTTCGGAACTTGTATGCAAGCTTATCTTGAAAATGTCGTAAGCGAGATTCAGACATCTGTCAAATATCTTGTGTTCTGTGATGGCCACCGCCACAGTATCTGTTTTATTTGTATTTGTAAATAGCTAATGAAAAAATTGAAAATGAAATATTAATTAACGTTCATATCGAATTACTAAAAATTACAAGCCAGCTGAGTTGGTTTTGTCGAGGGCTGTAGGTTTTTTAGGGAAAAGGTAGTACATTTAACAAACTTTGACATTCGGTAAGTAATTAATTGAATTAATGACATCTGAATCAAACAAAAAATTAAATCTTTCAATTTCAGTAATTAATTAATGTGTTTGCATAGCACGGAGTGTTTGATTAGAAATCATTAACTCTCAGACAGATCCCACTGAGTTTCTCGCCGAATCTTCTCAGTGGGTCGCGTTTCCGATCCGGTGGTAGATTCTGCGAAGCATAGCTCTTGCTAGGGTTCGTGTTAGCATCGTCGTCAGGTTTGAGCCCCGTGAGCTCACCTACTAGCCACGGTTACGCTGGAATAGCCGCTCCAGGCTACCAGCTTAGGTAGGAAAAAAAAAATTGAAATCAAAAGCCGTCCGGATTTCCTACCTATCTTTTACATTGCGGTTCCGACTTATTATTTATTCGTAGGCGGTTCCATAAAAAGAATTCACCGACAACAAGAAATAAACAAAAATGGTATTTTGTTGGTAGTATTACGTAATATGAGACCGCTCGGGTAGTGTTACCTTGTATGTTTTTACCGCGAAGCAAATATGCGTTTTGTTTTGGTGGGTAGGACCAGCAGCGGGGACCTCATGTCTCTTGTTGACGGCATTTACATTGAGTCAATAGGGTTTCTAATAAAAATGGGCCAGGAAAACATACAGAAAATACATTTTTTTATTGCTTGGACGAGCTCACAGCCCACCTGGTGTTAAGTGGTTACTGGAGCCCATAGACATCTAGGACGTAAATGCGCCACCCACCTTGAGATATACGTTCTAAGATCTCAGTACAGTTACAATGGCTGCCACAATCTTCAAACCGAAATGCATTACTGCTTCACGACAGAAATAGGCGGGGTGGTGGTATCTACCCGTGCGGACTCACAAGAGGTCCTACCACCAGTAATACGTAATTAAGAGCAGTTTCCATTAGAGCCGTAACCCTCACATCCATACATTGACGTCACTTAATGTTTCTTTATTTCAGAGTAACACCGGGGGATCAAGTATCGCGATGCCCTTGTCATGTTGCTCCCGGATCAGACGTACGAGACCGCGGCGGATCCGGTACCGTCTCTGCTGCTCGCACGGAGACTTCCTCCCGACTTCTTTTGTGCAAATCGCCCTCGCAGACCGCGGGACAAGAGGAAACTGTTGCATTCATTGTACGTCACTACTTCCTCTGCCGCTTGGCGCCTCTGATCCTAATCAGCAGCCTCATTTATGGGTGTTCATGATTCTGTAACGCACTAGTTTTTTCCCGCGACTTCGTCCGCGTGGAATAGTTACTCTCAATAGGGAAAAATACCCCGATTTTTAAACATTCTTTATTGGTTCTCTGCTTAGTCTTAGCGTGATGTTATATAGCCTATAGCCTTCCTCAATAAATGACCTATCTGACACTGAAAAATTTTTTCAAATCAGACCTGAGTTTAGCGCGTTCAAACAAACTAAACTCTTCAGCTTTATAATATTAATTAATATAGATTTGATATTACCCTAATTCATTCAGGCCTTAACGTGAGAACTCCTGTCGGCCTTTAAGTTTAAAATGCAAATATCAACTTCAACCTTTCCACCTGGAAGGCACCATTCCTTTCCGGTAAAACATGCAGGCGTGTGGTATTTCAGCTTCCGTATAAATATGCTATCCATCAGGCCTTCGGGCGGCGAGGAGACGTCGGCCGGAGTCGCAGCCCCGCGGGAGGCCGAGCTCAGAGCGGATGCGAGACGGCGCAAAACTCGCTCCAGAACTGGACATCACAAGAAAAACGGTGAGAAAACACTATGTATGTATGGTTTTGATAAACAATTTTATGTATTTATGTGAATAATTGTTGATCCAAGATGTACGATGTATGATGAGGTCCCTCAAAGACGTTCTCGATGTATCTGTAAATAAAACATTACAGTTAAAATGAAGCCTCGAACGAGCCAATAGCGAGGCTTCGAAGATGAGAATTCGAAGGTGGGAATGAGTTGCTCGCTCCCGGCATTACAATATTGCAATAATTGTTACGTTATAATTCTCATTGGGAATAAAAATATAAAAAAAAAAATCTAATATTAAAAAAAAAGACATGCCCGCTGAGTTTCTTGCCAGTTCTTCTCAGGACGGAGGCTAGTTTTTGTGAATTGGCGGTAGTTCTTTTTGACGTTCAAAAAGTATGTACTTTCATTTATGTTGAATAATTTTTTTTTGATTTGATTTGATGATTTCGATTTAAAACCTTTTGTAAATATATCTGATATCTTCATTTCTTTACAAATTAAAACTGTAAAATTTTGGACAACACTGCACGTTCGTGCAGTTGTCTGGACTATCTATACAAATAAATAAAATTGGAGTGTCTGTTTGTACTGTAATAAAATAACCACTTTTTACTAAATGCGTAAGTATGTATACCACAGTACATATACCAAAATGTATTTTTTTTTAATTTTTGTGTGTCTGTTTGTTCCGGCTAATGATATAAGTAAGGAGTAGGCTACTTTTACTTTATACGAATAGCAACAATTTGAAAAACTAACAATATAGAATACGTAATTTTGGATGTCTTCCGTGTTACTCTTCCTTACTATTCCGTTATAAATTCGATCGCGCTGACGTGAAAGAGATAGATTTATGTCGTTTAAGATCTACTTGAAAAATAATGTTTACTTACTCTTTTTGACTTTTGCACGATTTTGGATTCGTTGGTTACGCAATATCTTCTTCTTCTCAGTCGTGTCACTCTTGACAGAGTGGTCGTGATCGTCATGTAGTGTTGTTTTAATTTAAAATTAAAGTATTTTTTTGGCCATCAACGCGTTAATCCACAGAGCTTTTCAGATTTAGACAGTTTTTTTTAAATTGTTTATATAGGTGGACGATAGGTCCTGGTGTTAAGTGGTTACCAGAGCCCGTAGACATCAATAGCGTTACAGCTGCCCCGCCCTTCAAACCGAAACGCATTACTGCTTCACGGCAGAAATGAGCAGAGTGTTGGTACGGACCCGTGCGGTCTCACAAAACGCCCAGCCACCAATAATTAACCAAATTGTAATTTTTGTGAGTTTTGATTTTTATTACACGATGCTATTCCTTCACTGTGTGAGTCATACGGGAACATTTGTTAAAAAAAATTAGCACCTGTCTGCGGGATTCGAATACCGGCACTGTTGCATCGCTCGATGTGAATACACCCGTGGAATACACCGGCTATTTATTCTTTAAGCTATGACGATTTAGATTATCCTTATATTCCAAATTTCTCTTTATTTTTTTTCAAATTTCTTTTTTTATCACTCAAAACACTTGTTACATATTTTTATTTAGTAATTATTAAAATTATTATCGAACGTAAAATACAAAAGAAAAACAATACAAATATAAATGTATTTCACACAACGGTTTCGTATTGAAAGCGTTTCTCGAAACAAGTAGTTTTATGTTTGTGACGTTGAGACGTGGATTCGGTCGTTTTGTGTTTTTTTTTTTTTTTCTTTCAACAACGGAACTCTAAGAATAAGAAAAAGGCTGGGCTTACAAACACACACAATAAACAACCGCAGCGCTATCGCCGGGCGCTGGTTTAATTGGCGTTATCGCGACTCTACGTCGGCGGTACGCGACATCTCGCTATTGTTCGGACAGACTATATTGAGTGTGTTCCTTTCTACATAACGTCATCTAATTTATTTTATTAAACATTTTGCACCTTTAGATCTTGGGCATCAATGAAGAATCATTCGTAAAAAGAATTATCAAAGGATTTATTAAATGGTAGTGATATTTAATTTCGCGTTTATATTAGACGCGACTTTTCGACTGTTGCACAGTTTTCGTGGTCGCATGTGACTAATGTGTTATTCGTCAACATTTAAATATTGTGCCAGCTACGGTCTGGGCCCGGTCGTCGTGGCGACGCTTGTGGGAGGCCTACGTCCAGTAGTGGACGTCTGGGGGCTGAAAGTTAGATACAGTGGCTTGTTCTATAAACATAAAAAAATTGGTTGTTTGTAAAGTCGGTTTACGGACGATAGTCTTACGTGATAACGTCAGTAGCAGAACGTCATGTGAGAAGAGAGATAAATGTGTCACAAGCCAACGCTTGGGCCGATCTCCGGTCACCGCCCCCGTTGAACCCGTCACTTGCGACGAAGGGCTCGACGAGCGAATTAACCCACAGACACAGCCCATTGAGTTTCTCGCCGGATCTTCTCAGTGGGTGGTTCTGTGGGGAAAAGTGTCAAGTTCCGGCTGAGCCTGAGCGTGCAAGCAAGAGCGCGGAACAAGCGATAGAGAGGCACGATCGGCTCTTTTTTTTCCTACCTCTGCTGAGAGCCTTGAGAGGCTATTTCAGCTTCTCTTTGACGTGTAGTGAGCTCACAGGGCTCAAGCCGGAGTGTTGCTAACACTGGCAAGAGCAGTGCTTCGCAGAATCTACCACCGGATCGGAAACGCGACCCACTGAAAAGATCCGGCGAGAAACTCAGTGGGCTATGCCTATAGGTTAATTTACGCGTACTCGTCGAGCCCTTCGTCGCAGGGTTCGACGAGGATGGTGACCGGTGCTTGAGGTACCTAAAAGCACCGCTAGTTGATCGGGAGGATCCGAAATGACGTGTTTAGGACCGCCTGGTCCAATTGCGCGTCACCGAACACAATATTCAAGTCACGAATAAACCCGTCTTGAAGTAAGCGATAATTATGCTTTAATTCCGTATCTGTTTTCGTTCAGCGATCCATTAATGTTTCGCGGCAATTAAAAGGACGCATTATCTCGGGCTCCTTATCGTAATGCACTTACAATGATTTATTACGTGTGATTAGTTAAGCGAACACGAGGCTGCTGTGAGAGCCCTTGTAAAGTTTTAATTTTTAAAGGGGCATTTTTGATTTGACGTTTGTTCATGGTTTAATTACTAGAGGTGATTGCAAGTTAGGTGATTGCAAGTTTTTACTGGTGGTAGGACCTCTCGAGAGTCCACGCGGGTAGGTACCACCACCCTGCCTATTTCCTGCCGTGAAGCAGTAATGCGTTTTGGTTTGAAAGGTGAGGCAGCCGTTGTAGCTTTACTTGAGACCTTAGAACTTATATCTCAAGGTGGGTGGCGCATTTACGTTGTAGATGTCTATAGGCTCCAGTAACCACTTAACACCAGGTGGGCTGTGAGCTCGTCCACCCATCTAAGCAATAAATAAAAAAAAAGAAAGGAAATCGGTCTGATGAAATTTACTAAATTTGAAGATATCGTTTTGATTTTTATGACCGACTTGGTGGTGCAGTAATTAGTACCCCTGACTTTTGCACCGAGGGTCGTGAGTTCAGTTCCCACATCGGGCAAGCTTTCGTGTGGCGAACAGGTTTGTTTTCTCTTTATCTGGGTGTTTATTATGTAGATATTTAAACTTATATGAGTACGTATATAAGTCTCTTGGACACATAAAACAGAGAACCCTAATACGAACGTGCGCGATTGATTTTCAGTTATAAGTTATATTTTCAGTTTATTGCATAGAGAGTTGAATAACTCTGTATCCATATGGAGACATACGATTTAAATCTCAATTGTATAGTGGAACTGGTTTCCCACCCTTCAAACTGGTACGTGTGACTGATTCGCAATAGAAATGTTCAAAGTGATCACCACTTTCACCAATAAATTATCAAGCTCCCTTTCGGGCCTATTTTTGTATTCAGGGCAATTTAGTTTTTCGGCATCAATTTTGCAAGAATTAGATAGTAATATAACTTTAAACGCGATGCATTGAATGGTCGCTTGATTACATCCACCAATTGTAGCAACACGACTAAGGTTAAATTTTTGATAAGTATATTAAACAGAGAGAGTTTAAATAAAGTATGCTCTCTGCATAAGCTACATTGAAGTAACAAAGCTAAGAAGTGGACGAAATTTGCTTTTGCACTCTTTAGTGGAACAACTTGAAACATCCTTGAAGAGTAGGGAGATGAACATTACTGGACTTATAGATTTAGTGCCAATTTCGTCATAAAATTTTACTTTTTTTTTATTGTTAAGGTGGGTGAACGAGCTCACAGCTCATCTAGTGTTAAGTAGTTACTGGAGCCCATAGACATCTATAACTTAAATGCACCACTCACCTTGAGATATAAGTTCTAAGGTCTCAAGTATAGTTGCAACGGCTGCCCCACCCTTCAAACCGAAACGCATTACTCTTCAGGCCAGAAATAGGCCGGGTGGTGATACCTACCCGTGCGGACTCACAAGAGGTCCTACCACCACTACCTACTTGTTGAATATATTTCTTCAAAATATACACAACAGGTTAAATCGAATCAGAAACATCACCAAAGCCACAAAGATCCGGCTCCTTCGTACTCGGCGCTTGTGCATGGGTGCATACCAACATTTTTGGCCATATCTCCCGGCGAGGAATTGACTCCATACAGCGCCTTGTCGTTCGGGGCAAAGTAGAAGGCACAGACCGCGTGGAGGGTTGTCTATGCGATGGACTGACCAAATCAATTCGACAGTTGGCGGTTGTTTGCATGAATGTACCAGGCTCACCACAAACCGTCCTGAAGTGGCGATTGCTCGTGAGGCGCATAGCATCTGCCCACAGCAATGATACTGAACGACGACCACCACCGCTCTGATAAGATTGATACGACAAAGGAGATATATTATCGGCCTTGTAGGTAAACGAGTATACGACCTGATGGTGAGTGGTTACCGTCGTCCATGGACTTCAGTTGTGCCAAGTGCAAAGCCAAGCCTCTGCTGACTGTTGTAGCGCGTGCTTTAA